GTCTGAATATCCCATCTTCCCACATGGATATGGAAGATACTTTATCTACACTGAACACTTTTCCCCTCGTCTTTGCCCTCTAACCTTTGTCTTCTTTAAGCATTGGAAAGGTGTGGTCTATTGCTACTGATTATTTTGTTAACAAAAAACACTCTTTACTCAGAATAACGGTTTGTTCTTTCCGCCTGTTGCTTCTCTGAAATGTTTGCACTATCCCCTTGCTTTGACTTGAGCCACATTGTCACAGAAAGACATGTGTTTCTTAGGTATATCCCCAGACCACAAGATAACCACATTTTCAGCGTTTACTTATTTTTTTTCCTCACTTGAAAGCCCATTTTTGCCTTGAGTGGAGCAATTCCCAGAAGTAGTTCAATGAAGTATGTTTTGTGGTTTCTGTATCAAGCACCTGATGGATTCCACAACATGTGTCTAAAGGTATCTAAGTCAATACCACATACCCAAGTCACTTTGGAATTCAGCTTTTCATTCCTTTTCTCTCTCAGACTTATAGTGGAGGTCTTTTCACCTTTTCCTTATTTCTGTCACCAAAACTAGTAGTTGATTTTCTTTTAGAAGAACTTTTCATGCCACTAAAAATGGTTTTTATTATTTTGTGAGTGTTACTACATTACACAGAAATGACATGTTGACCTATAGAGGCTAAGTCCAACTCACTGGCACAGTAATTTACTCTTCCCTTAGAATGAAGAAGTTCAAAATTAGCCAAACTCCAACTCACTATGAATCATGACCTTTGGGTGGATCATGGTGATCACATCGGAAGATAGATAAATGTCAAATCACTATGTTGTGCACCCGAAAATAATATAATATTGTATGTCAACTATACTTTAATTAAAAGATTTAAAAGCTGTAAGTATAAACATTTGAGAATGCAAATTATCCTCTACATTATATATATAGATGTAAATCCATACTTTAGCATTTTTTGCTTGTTCATACCTTTCCAAGAGAAATGGGATAGGCATAGGTTAAATGAATCTCTTTGAAAAACATTACACATGTTCAATTAAAAAAAGTATTTTCTAAAAGTGGAGAGAGATTATTTTACAAAAAAGAAAGTTCAGGTACAACTGTGGGCTTTTCTACATGTTTCTGTAGACAGTTCAGGCTTCTTTTGACATCATTTTTAATAAACAGCAATACAATCCCAGATCACTTGAGTAAATGAATGCATTTGCAGCGTTCATTTGGCACCACATTCTCTTGATGATTATGGCATTTGATATGTTCTTTTTTGCCCTCTTTGTCAGCCTGGTTCTTCATGTCAATCTATAGTCTTTTAAGTGGTTAACTTGACAGATGCAGGAAATTGCTGCCAAGCTTTGAAATGAATTTTTTCAGCAGTGGCATCTGGGTATCAGATGGTCCTCTTGGCTGGCCTCTTGTCTTGCTGCATGCTGGCTTTAGTGGGGTCTGCTGTAGCATCACCTGTTGCTATGCTCCCTTTCCCTTCCATATGTCCATTTCCCATGATTCATGGGTGAATGTGAGAATAAAAGCTCTGGTTCTGTCTTTATTTCAGAAAAAAATTCTACAGAAATATGTTCGAAGGTGCCGAGTTCCTTCTCTGACAAAGGGATACTTCCCTTAGGCTGGCATGCCTATCAGCTAATACTTTGGTTATAAAGACGAAGCTTTTAAAGACTCATTAAAATGAAAGAGAAGGAGGAGAATGACGATTAATGAGTGAAAGTGCCAAAACTGCTTTATTTTTTCCATTCACATTAAGATGCTGCCATTGTTGTACAGCATGACCAGGGGGAGCTGTATTTTAGTTTTTATTATATACTTATACTTTACAAAGCTAGCTTTTTAAATTTAAAAAGAAATTATTTCCTCAGAGAGCATTATTTTTTTTTTCTGCTTCCTGCGAGCGAGAACATGTTTACATTATTTTAAAAACACTTTACAAGAGGTATAGGAAATCACTATCATGAAAAAGTCCTCATATTATTAAGCCATAGTCAACATGGGTCCTGGGGAAATCCAGGGTGTACAGGCTCAAGGCCCATATCCTCTGCCCTCGGAAGTTTATCCCCACCACTAGCGAGCTTCCACTCTCTCTCAGCAGGACTACAGCTCCAACAGCACCAGGGGCCGTCATTCACACTGTACTCCCCCAGAGGCTTGGCTTGAGCAAGGCCTTCACTATTCTTGCTCCTCTCTCCTGAGTTCTTAGGAGAAAGCAGTTCTCTAACTGGCTAAGATATTGTCCTTTCAAGGGACCCAAATTTGAGGGTTTTTTTTTTTAATATATTTTATTGATTTTTTTACAGAGAGGAAGGGAGAAAGATAGAGAGCTAGAAACATTGATGAGAGAGAAACATCGACCAGTTGCCTCTTGCACACCCCCCACCGGGGATATGCCCGCAACCAAGGTACATGCCCCTGACCAGAATCGAACCCGGGACCTTTCAGTCCTCAGACCGACGCTCTACCATTGAGCCAAACCGGTTTTGGCCCAAATTTAAGTTTTAGTCCATGCATTGACATCTTCCAAAATGTTCTGCAAAAGGACCTAAGGAATAAACGATGGCGCCGGTGAAGCTTCTTCCTTTCTATGCCTTTTGTTTAAGTGGATATCAGGGTGTTTCTCAGCCCACTCTCCTAGGAATGAAGATCTTTCCTGCATTGCTTGCCAAGAAAAGTTTCTAGCAACTTCTTCACAGGGAAACTGGGTGTGGGCAGTGTAGTGAACTGGAGTCTTGCCCTGCTCAGCTGACCCAAGGAAGAGTGCCACTGACAGTGGACAAGGAGGAGGTCATTGTGTGTATGTCTCCCATTGTCTCCTTGTCTCCTGCACTTTTACAATTTGGCAGGGATAGGCAGAAAGGAAGTACAATGGACTTAAATGGTGTTTTTCTTAATAAAACTATGAACAAAGCAAAATAGCTGAAAGGAAATATGACCGTGACGAACATGCAACAAATAATCCATGTGTTTTACTCCAGGCTATATGAGCTTTCATATTAACTGTAAACTGCTTACAGTTTGGTAAAACTGCCTGTAAAAAAAAAAAAAAGCCAAAATTATTCTTTTAGAATTGGTAATGTCTGCTCATGCTCATGACAACAAATTTAACAGCTATATTTAAAATTATACATATTAATCTGGATTCCAAAAGATGTTTCAATGATGCATATTTACTTTTTAAAAAGTCAACTTAATGATTGCTTATCGTATGCCAATGACTATGCTGAATACCGTAGGAAACACTGAGAAATTATATGTTACCTATCCTTAGGAAACATACTTTTATGGAGGAGCCTTAAAACAAATGAGTTCAAAAGAGAAATTTATTGTTCAACTGTTAGAATGTAGTGGTCTCTAATGTTTGATGGCTGTGTACTATATACCCATTATGGCTCTAAATGATTTGCAAAATTAAATGATATATTTCTCACAACAACCCAATTTGGTGGCTCCTGTATCATCACCATTTTTCAGATAGGGAAACAGCGGATCAAGGTCATTGGCTGGGCCAGCATTTGATTCCAGGCCACTTGTCTCCAGAAACTAAACTCTTAACCACTTTATTACCCCCCCCCCCCCTCATTGAAAGCTGGAATATGAAGTAGGCCAAGCCCTTTGCTACTTCTGAGACTTTGCCTTGTCACCTTCCCAAGGGAGAGGGAGAGGCTAACGCGGCTCTTCCCCATTTTCAGTTTTTTTAGAGAGCAGTCATCCATTTCCCCACGTTTCACATGCCTCTTGCATTCTCTTTTCCTTTTTCACATTTCCTGATTGGTCCAAAAAAGCACTTACGTTTGCAGTACCTGGAGATCAGTGATAGTGAAATAGGATCACAGAAGAGATAGAAAACACAAAAACTATGATTTTAAGTTGCTGAAACTAAAACAAATGGAACTGATTGTGTGTGTGTGTGTGTGTGTGTGTGTGTGTGTGTATGTGTATGTACATATATATATGTATAAGGAATCTTAGGTTACATGATACTATTTTTCCTAAGGAAAGTAACCCATTGAAACAAAAGAAGGCAATGGAAAATTGAGTATTTTAGAGTAATTTATCTTTTAAAAAATAACTTTATTGTTGAAAGTATTACATATGCCCTCCCTTTTCCCCCACTGACTCCTTCTAGCCCGCTCCCATCCCCTGCCCCAGGCCTCCACCACCCTATTCTGTGTCCATGGGTTATGCATATATGCATATAATTTCTTCGATTAATCTCTTCCCACCACCCACCCACCCACCTCCTGACTTCCCTCTGAGATTTGTCAGTCTGTTCCATGCCTCTATGTCTCTGAATATATTTTTTTCCACCAGTTTATTTTGTTCATTAGATTCCACATATCAGTGAGATCATGTGATAATTTATCTTTAGGAGATCTCATATGAGAGGATACTTGGATATTGTCAGGAAGTGTCTTCTAGTCACAATTAGGTCATTCTTTGTCCTGTTGTTGTCTCGGTCCCTACTTTGTTTTCTCAGCCTGATACCTGATAAAAAGTTGGTACTTAATATTTTTATGTGTGATTAAATAATAATGAATTGTGAATAATACTAATTGCAAATTAACTTGCCCATTTAAGGAAACTATGGAAGTGACTGTTTTTGATCATGACTTTACTTACCCAATAGAAATAGAATAGAAACTAATGTTAACATTAACCTGGAAATGCACTGAACCTATCAAAGTATGTAGAAGATACTATAATCATAATTGCAATAGGAATACCTACAATATTTCTTTAAGTGAATTACATATCTTGACACTGTTACCTTTTTATCTTTATTTTGCATTTTATCTTTATTTTTATTTTGCATTTTTGCAGTTGTATTATATAAGACTCAAGACAGCATCTTCTTTCTATTCTTACTGTTCCATGGTGGTTGTGTTATTTGTCTCTATACTAAGTTCAGGTCTTATGAGTATTCTCTCTCTCTCTCTCTCTCTCTTTCTCTCTCTCTCTCTCTCTCTCTCTCTCTCTCTCTCTTTTTTTTTAAACAGAAAGGCTGTGGATACCATCTGGACCTATTAATGGTGGCTGTCATGCTTGGTGTGTGCTCCATCATGGGCCTGCCATGGTTTGTGGCTGCCACTGTCCTCTCCATCACTCATGTCAACAGCCTAAAACTGGAATCGGAATGTTCAGCTCCAGGAGAACAACCAAAATTTCTTGGCATTCGGGAGCAAAGAGTTACTGGGCTTATGATTTTTGTTCTCATGGGTTCATCAGTCTTTATGACCAGTATTCTGAAGGTAATAAAATCTGCCCTTCTGAATTTAAGAGAAGGCAGAATATACTTATTATTGTTTAAGAGATTTCATTTGAATATAAATTATTAATTTGCAAATGTTTTATGGCAAGTGATGAAAGTAATTAATTTCTTTACCATGTTAGTATAACTTTTTAACTTAATGAGGGAAATTGTGTGCTGTATTTTAAAATCCTTAAATAAAAATTTAGTCTTGTAAAGTAAAATTTGATGTGTAACTTATTACTATAATTTTGAAATGGTGACAAAGTTGTGAGAAAGAGTACCTCATTATTTCTTGACTTGTGATCTGAATTTACTACAGGCCTAGACAAAATAAGGCTTTTTTTTTTTTGTCAATGGAAAGCTATACTTGCAATTAACATTACCTACTATAAGATAAAGGCACAGAAGTAAGCAAGCAATGTTATGGGCATGGCCACAGGTGCAGATGTATATGTTCCATAAAACTAATAATATGAAAGCATTAAAGAGTAATTATTATGTCATAATTCTGATAGATATTTCTAAGCTGTGTTATTTGTATTTTATTGTAACTCATCTAAGTTGTCTATAATTTATAAATTCTAGTTGAAATATTTATTTACATAAATTTACATGTATTTAATAATTTCATAAGTATATTTGCAAGAATTGATGTGTATGTTATATAAATAACTATAGAGATAGAATGATGCCGAGTATTTAAAGAAAGAGAAAAATTGAACAATCCACAATTTTACAAATATCTGGTATAATGTAGAAACAACATCTAAGTATTAGCTTAATTCTTCGCCTTTAATCCAAATAAGTTGTTGAAAATAAATTGTGCCTTTCCTCCAATTGTTTTTTCACAGTTTATCCCTATGCCAGTGCTGTATGGAGTGTTTCTTTATATGGGTGCTTCATCTCTAAAGGGAATCCAGGTAAATTATTTACAGCAATAAAGGCACATCTATGATGAGTTACGGCAAGATCTATCGATGCTAAGTCTTGTGATAGTTAAGAAAAGGACATCATCTTAGGAGCAGGTTTTAAACTAAAATTAATTTAAAAAATAGTCATATTTCTAAAAATTAAAAAAGATCCTCATAGGCATCTTAGATTCATAATCCTAGGGTACTTTTGTTTACCTTAAGTATATTAAAATTGAAATGTTTAAATTTCACAGTCCTTTTAAGTAACTAATCATAGTACATTTCAAAGTATATACATATACTTTTAATCTTTGATACTGTCTTCATGATTATGGATATATATATATATATATGGCTAGAATATATATATATATATATATATATGGCTAGAAAAAAACTCTATGCACAAAAATATTGTTATACACACTTTTAAGATATCAGAAATAATCCCATTATCCAACATTAGTAAATAATTATATAATCTATGGTATATTAATTGAAAGGCAGTAATTATGAGGATAATAAAAGTAACATGGTAGAAATGTTTATGGCACAATGCAAACTGAAAAAGTAGGAAAATAAATTTTATCTACCATTGGTTTATAATGCTATGATATTGGTCAGATTAAAATGGAAGACAAAGAAAGAAAAATAATTTATTGCCCAGCCAGTTTGGCTTGGTGAATAGAAGACTTAAGGGTCCCAGGTTTGCTTCCAGTCAAGAGCATGAACCTTGATTATAGGAGAGATCCCCGGACTTGGTTGAGATGTGTGCAGGAGGCAACCAATCAATGCGTCTGTCTCACACTGATGTTTCTCTCTCTCTCTCTGTCTCTCCCCCTTCCTTCCATTCCCTCTCTCTAAAAAATAAATAAATAAATATCCTTGGGTGATGATTCACAAAAAACAAATTTGTTAAAATAGTGAGGACCTAGGTGATTTTTTTTCTTTTATGTTTGTTTTCTATTATAATATTATCATATTTATAGAAATACTAAAGTTAAAATACAGTTATAAGGTAAGGCAGTTTCAAAGTATAGGGAAAGGCTTATTAAAGAAGTGTTAAATAAATAAATGTAGTTGGGTTAGTTTTCTATTGCTGCATAACAATAGAATACATAACAATAACACACATTTATTATCTCACAGCCTCTGTGAATCATTAATTTGAGAACAGGTTAGCCAAGTGGTTCTGGCTCAAGATGTCACGGGTGGATGCTTTCAAATATGGACAAAGGATACAGTCATCTGAAGGTTGAATAGGGCTTGAGGATCTTGTCTAAGATGGCTTATCACACAGCTTGGCTATTCAGAGGAAGCCTCTGTTTGCCTCATGGGCCTCTCCACAGTTCACTCAAGTGTCCTCATGACATGGAAGTTAACTTCCATTGGAGTGAGCTATGAAAGGATGAGCAAAGTCACTGTGCCTATTGACTTAGTCTCCAAAGTTGCCCTGGGTCGCTTCTACTTTTTACTATTTGTTAAAAGCAAATCACTATGGCCAGTTGGTACATAAGGGAAAGGAAATTAGATTTCATCTCTTTATTTTGGTTTGTTTTTGTTTATTTTTAAATCTTCACTGAGGATATTTTTCCATTGATTTTTATTTTTTTATTTTTATTTAAAAATATATTTTATTGATTTTTTACAGAGAGGAAGAGAGAGGGATAGACAGTTAGAAACATCGATGAGAGAGAATCATTGATCAGCTGCCTTTTGTACACCCCCTACTGGGGATGTGCCCGCAACCAAGGTACATGCCCTTGACCAGAATCAAACCTGGGACCTTTCAGTCCACAGGCTGATGCTCTATCTACTGAGCCAAATCGGTTTTGGCTCCATTGATTTTTAGAAAGAGTGAAAGAGAGAGGGAAAGACAGAGAGAAACATCGATGTGAAAAAAACACATTGATTGGTTGCCTCCTGCATGAGCCTCCATCAGGTCCCCGGCCAGGGAGGAGCTTGCAACTGAGGTGCTTGCCTTTGACTGGAATCGAACCCAGGACCCTTTGGTATGAAAGCCAAATCGGCTAGGGCTAGACTTTATTTCTTAGAGAAAAAAAATACTAAATAATTTGTGGATTCATGTTAAAAGCACACGATTCTTTTCTAAATCTTTATAGAGGCCCTTGGCAAATTGTTTCTGCTTATGTTATTGTAGTGGGTTGAATAGTGTTCCCTAGAATTTTTTTCTACCTGGAATCTCAGAATGTGACCTTACTTGGAAATAGAGTCTTTGCAGTTATAATTAGTTATAGTTCTCAAGATGAGTTCATCCTGAGAACTATAACTAACTCTAAATCCAATCACTGGGTTCTTTATAACAAGAAGAGAGATACAGGGAATAAGGCCACATGAAGATAGAGACAGAGATTAGAGTTTTGGTGCCATAACCAAGGAACATCAGAAATCACCAGAAGCTGGAAGAGCAAGGAGGGTTCCTTCCTCACAGCCTTCATAGGGAGCTTGTGTAGCCAGCACTTTGAAATTGGCCTCCAAAACAATTTAAATATATATATATATATATATATATATATATATATATATATATATAGGCAGTGGCTGTAATGACAGAAGTCTTGACCAAACACCAGAAGTCAGACCTGCAGTCAGTGCTGGGTTGCTGGAGGGGGATGCAGATCAGGCCTGAAGAAAGGCCTGGAGAGAGAAGCAGGGTCTGGCCTGTAGCCTCTGTGGCAGCTGTTGATCACCTCTTGCCTTTCTTTCTCTCCGGGTCTCCTTGGGGGCTGCTGATCAGCCCCGCCTCTCTGATCAGGCCCGGAAATAGGCCCAGAGATGCTGACTGGAATAGAAACCGACCAATCAGAACCAAATATGGGTGAACTGTGAGGATTCAATGGCTGCCTAGGAGGTGGAGCTTTTGACAATCAGAACCCTTCCTAAGGTAGGGGCTGAGGAGGGGCTTTAAGGCAGTTGGGGACGAGATCAGGCTGGCAGGATAGGGCAGTTTGGGATCAAGATCAGGCCAGCAGGGAGGGAAGTTAGGGGCAATCAGGCTGGCAGAGGCAGTTAGGGGCAATCAGACCAGCAGGGAAGAGCTGTTGGGGGCAAGATCAGGCTGGCAGGGGAGGGCAGTTGGGGGCAAGATCAGGTGGGGGGGTATATCATTGGGGGCAATTAGGAAGTCAGGCAAAGCAGTTAGGGGTAATTAGGCAGGCAGCAGAGAGTTTAGGGGCAATTAAGCAGGCAGAAGGGTTAGGGGCAATCAGGCAGGCAGGCAGAGGCAGTTAGAGGCAATCAGGCAGGCAGGCAGGTGAGCATTTAGGAGCCAGCAGTCCCAGATTATTGGCAGTTAGACATCCCCCAAGGGGACCCTGATTGGAAAGGGTGCAGGCTGGGCTGAAGGAACTTCCCCACCCCACCCCACCCCCCGGCCTCATGCATGAATTTCATGCACTGGGCCACTAGTATATACAGTATATATAAAAGGCTAATATGCAAAGTGTCCCCTTGGGTGTTCAACCAGGAGACTAGCAGTTTGATCACTCTCTATGATGTGTGCTGACCACCGTGGGTGGCACAGAATGAAGAACGGCTCCAGTCACAGCCAGAGGCCCCAATCAGCCCTGATCACTAGCCAGACCTAGGGACCCTACCCATGCATGGATACCCATGCACGAGGCCTCTGGTGGGATAATTAATCTGTATTGCTTTAAATTGCTGAGTTGTGGTAATTTGTTACAGTAGCATTAGAAAACTAATATAGTTTTCTATATAAATTTGCCTTTGAATGCTCTAAGTTTTCTAACTTAACATTATTAATTCTTTAAAGAAGTATTGGTTAATCTAAATTACTGATTGATCTAAAGCACATTTTCTTGAAAAAGAGACTAATTTTGAGGGTTATTTATTGTAGACTATAGTTTGTTTTTGTTGACTAAAAGAAAAACATAACTTGTTGCTTTTTCTTTGACACAGCTTGATTCATGGCTGTTCAAAGACATAAAAGAAACGTTACCTGACAGAAAGTTATGCATTTATCAAATTAACACTTAAGTGTGGAGCACAGGGTGAGCTTCGGTTCAATAATAGACCATAAGAGAAATTGAAAAAGTTAAGTTTATTACTCACAGGTCCTGGAGAAAGTACCTGGCCTTGGGCCAGAGTGGAAGGTCAAGGCAGAATAAAGAGACAGATGGAGACAAAATCTGGGCACACGCTTTTGTTATAGTCTATGGGTAGAGTACTTTGGGGTTCCTGGGCTAATTCAAATTAAATCAGTGGGGTTTAAGTCCCTGGGAATCTAAGGGACACATAAGGAAAAAGCATTGGGAGGCAGGCAAGGTTGTTGATCACAAGGGTTTTTGGGAAAGTCGTATTAGGACCTTTGTTTACTTGTGACTCTGTGGGCATCTATCTAGGGAAAGCGATTGCATGAGGGACTAGTATAGTTAAAGGTCATTGCAGACCACTAGGCTAAATAAAATGGTTTCAAGGCAACAATACCATGGAGTGTCTTAGCCAAACTCTAGACACCGAGGACCAGGCAGCATGGGAACTCTTTTCCTGAATGAACAGCTGCCCAGGTCTGACTTTGGGAGCAGGAAAACCACGTAGGCCTTAGGGCAGTGCTGGATGTTAGAACTGAGGCAAAACTTCAATATGAAGTCATTGTAAGATCCTCAAACACCCAAGAGGGTTGGATGAGCCGGTTCATCCTGATAGGGGGTTACATTCACTTGGGAGACAGAGATGGTGCGAAAGTTTTTTGCATTTAAATTTTTCTCAAATTAGTTTTAATTTTCTCATTTATAATATTATGGATGAAAGTGTGTTGTGAAAGAATTGATTTGGTGAGGCAGAGAGGGAAGAGTACTAAAGAGTTTTTATTTGTTTTGTTATTTTTTCGTGTGTGTGTTTTCTTTTATTTGCCTTTGGCAAAAGTTCCATGAGTACTAACTTCATCTGTGATTGCAAAGTATTTATTATTAGGCCTCAGGCTCACAAAAATATAGCAGCAGAAGTTTAAGAAACAAAGTAAAATAATTTTGATAGATTTCCCCAGATTTCCCCCCCCCCAACTCCACTCACAAGATTTTATATTCAGGATTTAAAACTAAATAAATCTTGCAATTATTTGTAGTGTTCATCTTTTGTTTGAAAATTGAATAAAATATTATCAAAGGCACAAGATAAAAGTATGAGTATGAAATAGCACAAATGAAACAGCAAGTAAGGTCTCAGCTGAGAAAGAGTGCTAGTGAAAACTTAAGTGAGCCTGAAGCTCAGGGAATTGAAACCCATATTTGGAATTTTGTGGCTAACTCAGTTCTGAAATGGGAATTGATGTTATGTCAAGATAAATGCTAAATGCAAAACTCAGATTACATTTATCATGCTTATCATGATATAAGTGGTAATAAACATGTGCTGAATACCAACAATACAAGGAGCATGTTAATAGGTTACTCTATATGTAGTAGGACCCTGTATTGTATATGACTGTATAGCATTATTAAGAAAATTATCTAGACTTCTCATTGTCCAATGTGGCAGGAAAAAACAGCTCACAGTGTTCTCAGAATGTTGTTTCTGTACCCAGATATATCACCACATCTATATTCATTCCAACACTTCAGGAGTCCAAAGTAAAGCAAATGTGCCATTTAAACAATAACAATTGAAGCACCCACACACTGAAGTACACTTATGCAATGACATAACTTCACAAAGGAGAAATGGTGACTGAGAAAAATGAGTTCTATAGAAACTGAAACATTCAGTTATGAGCCAGATGATTTTAATTTATTTCTTCCCTATTCCCACTCCCATTATGTACCAAATTTTATTTGCTTGTTTAATGACATGTAATTTTAAGATATATTGAGGATGTAGAAATAAAGACCTAATAATATATTTGTGGACAGTATAAAGAGAGATGGGCCAGGAAAGAAATTCAGTGCTTAGTACTCTGCATAGAAGGTTTTCACTAAACACTTTTGTAGCTTATTAATGCATATGAATAAATATACATGAACTGTGGATGAACTAACCTACATGTGATTCTGCTTTAAATGACCAAGAAAAGATCATGCCATAGCGTAAGAAGGGAACACAGAGGAAAGATGGGTTTCTGTTGAGTTTGGGAATTCTATTACACATGCAAACAGATTTTGGTAAAATAAGATGTTTTGATCCTAACACTTGACTCAATGGACATTTGTTCCTTATTAGAGTAATTTTGGAATATGTGATGAAAATTACTTACAGTTTTCTTATAAATTAGCTAAGAAATATAATCTAATAGTACTCCTTTGAAAATGCATAACAGATATTACTGTAGAAATGGCATGAAAATGGACTGTGATTAAAACCATATTCTAAATAATTGCTTCCTGTTGGAAACATTCAAAACTACAAAGTTAGGCCTGAGGAATATTAAACAAAAGAATACACATAAAATAAAGTAGCATGCAGTATTGTTACTAAATAAAATGTGATTAAATATTTAAAATTCTTCTAAAATTTTAGTATATAGAATTTTAATTGAGAAAATTAGCTTTTGTAGATTAAAATGGCCCCCAAGCCAAAGCTGTAACTGTCTTTAATGTAAAATTTAAACAGAAATAACATTGTTCTGGATAAAAATAATTTTTTATAAAATCCAATAAAATATATAAATGGTTTGAAAGTGCAGTATAGGAAATTGATTAAGAAATTAAATTGAGTTGAAAAAATTTGCTCTGGAAAGAATTTATTAACTATAATTAATTTTGATTAAATATTTATGGATAAGATATTTGTGTTTGTAAAAATAGCACTTAAATCTTGTGGAGATCAAAGCAACAAAGTCAGAAAAGCAGAGTCAAAATAAGGAGTCAAAACATATGACTCGTCAGCTGGAGATGGGTAGAGAGCTCCCGAGTCAGAGAGGTGAAATAGAGTGCTAGGTGAGGGAGTCTTTAATGAGTATGTTTAGTTGAAGCCATGGACTATTGTATGAGAGACAAGGACAGAGAATGGGAGTTCAGGAAGCCCCATTCAGGGGCACATAATGTGATGTGACGATGAAAAAGAGGTTGAAGATGGTGTTTTGTCTCTCAAGGCTATGCTCTCCCTGGTATCAACATTTAGCATGATCTTTAATATTTTTAAACGCTTCCAAATTACAACCTGGGTCCATATTTTCAAGAAAATGTGGGATATTATAAAACTGATATCATAGTATTTCAGAATGTATGCGTAACAATACTACTATCCAGATGCCCAAATATCAACTTGAAAGTGATCCAGATGTACAATATATTGGACCACATTTACTGTTTACTTGTTCTAAAATTAATTTAGTCTGTTTACCTTTTAGTTCTTTGATAGAATAAAGCTCTTCTGGATGCCTGCAAAACACCAACCAGATTTTATATATCTAAGGCATGTTCCACTTCGAAAAGTCCATCTCTTCACAATTATTCAGATGAGTTGCCTTGGCCTTTTGTGGATAATAAAAGTTTCAAGAGCTGCTATTGTCTTTCCAATGATGGTATGAAAACTTTTTTTTCTCTTCCTGTGATTTTTCTCCTTTTATTGTAAACCCATGAACTGAAATTGGAGCAATAAAGTCATTCTGAACAGTTATTGGTAACCCTGGTAAAACTTTAACCACTAAATCTTAGTGACTAAGATTGGGTTTGAGATTATATATGAATTGCAGTGACTTAATATTAGTTTGGTCTCTATCATTCTGAATATTAGTAGTTGTTTGAATTAATTGAAATTGGGTGGGAAAATGTAAACTTTCAAAATTTAACTTTAAAACTATACTAGCAAATCTGAAAAGTTGAGGAATTTTTAAAAAGTTGAGGAATTTTAAAAATGAAATTTCATGAAATATTTCAGGCAAGTTTTAAATGCTTCAAAATATAGCGAATTTGAATAACTAAATAATTTAAAATACTTTCAATACAGATAAGGATAGTTTAATGTTCATTTAAAATAAAGCAAACTATATGTATTTAGGAAAACAGTGAAATATGTTTTATAGTTTTTAAAATAACTTATTTGAATGACTTCAATAATAGGTAATTAACACCACAGCCGAATAACAGAGGATAGGGTAAGAAAGGGAAATAAAAGAAGCAAAAGTACAGACAATACCTGTTATATACATATATTTTAAAATTTCGTTTTTAATCTCAGTCCTATTTGAAATTGACTTGTTTCTAAAAACAGACAAGCATATCCCATTCCCATTTCTTCCATATTTTACACTATTTTATTATTTATTTCAGGTGTTAGCTCTGGTATTTGTAAGAAAGTTGATGGACTTTTTGTTTACCAAACGGGAACTCAGCTGGTTAGATGATTTAATGCCCGAGAGTAAGAAAAAGAAACTAGAAGATGCCGAAAAAGAAGTAAGTCATAGCAAAATAAATATCTTATAAAGTAAAAGGAGCACTTGTACACAATAATTCTTTGCAAAACTAAATTATTGTGTTTATCTTTAGACAATTAGTGATTAACAACCACAGGTGAACAAGTTTGGAAGATTAATGTTTAAAATCATAATGTTGGAATTTGAACACAGTGAGAGCAAGTGGGCATATCTTACATGAGGAAATCAATCCCAAGAGAAACATGATAATACTTTATATTTCATTATCATGAAAATTGTACAGTTTATTTTTCTGATTCTTCCCCTGTGGATGGTAGAAACTTACAGATACTTAATTATTTCCAAATTATAGTCATTCAGTGATTGCTTTTTGGTTGAATAAGTGAGATACAAAAAAGAGACATTATCGCTGTGGATATTTTTCTAAGGACAAAGTTTTAATCAAAAGGTAATTTTAATCCAAGGATAAAATGATTTATTCTTGAAATAGGTTAAACGCTTAAAAGGAAAATATATTAATTTGATTTGCTTCCAAATGATTTTAAGATTATTATTTGAGAAACTTTTTGGATTTACTTGCTTTGATGGACTACGGATTTATCCTATCCTGTTTCATATATTAAAACAATTTAAGTTTTATGGAGTATTTAAAATTCATATTTAAGTCTGGGAGTATAAGTGAAAAAAGTGACCTTTATGTAATTTACCAGAATGGTTGAACCTATAAATTATGAAAGATAGGAGCAAAATTTCCATGTGAATAGAAATAAAGATGAAAGAAACTATTTGATGACAATTGTACATTCTTTCCACTTTTTCTTCTTCTATAAGGTGGTTAGTAAGTGTATTAATTTTCTTATCTACAGTATATTTTCTCAGACCATGGATACATTCCTCTTGCCTTTGGGAAATGTGTTTGAAAACCTTTATTCAGTCATTAGGTGAGGCTTGATAGGTCACAAAGTCTAATGAGATTTCTGCACAGGTGTTTCTACACATAGAGCTACATAATATGTGACTCTGATATTTCTTCACTATTCCATAGTGTCCCATCATTGACAGTGGATTACCACATTTAGGAACTGATCATGATGATGTATGAATATTTCAGTTTTCTCAAATATTGAAGAAAGCATACTGAGATTCATAGGTCTAGTACTAATAATACAAAATTAAACTATATTATTTAAAATTCATATTATAAATGTATCATTACTTCACTTTTCTGGTTGATATATTCTTATTTAAATATTAGGTATTTTAAAAAAATAATACGTTAGTCGAGACCAGTTTGGCTCAGTGGATAGAGCATCGGCCTACAGACTCAAGGGTCTCATGTTCAATTCCGGTCAAGGGCATGTACCTTGGTTGTGGGCACATCCCCAGTGGAGGGTGTGCCAGAGGCAGCTGATCGATGATTCTCTCTCATCGATGTTTCTGACTCTCTATCCCTCTCTCTTTCTCTCTGTAAAAAAATTAACAAAATATATTTTAAAAATTCAAAAAAAAATAATACTTTAAGATATTTTGATAGTCTCTAATTTTTGGTCTTTAGGTAAAGGCTTGCTCTCATCATCAGATACTATTTCAAAAAGTATGACATAAATTTGGTATAAACCAAATGTAAATAAGATGGGCATCAGAATAAAGAAACTCTGAAGACTTAAATTATCCATACTTGGTGTAATAAAATTATTCAGGTGGAAAGCAGTTTCTAAGAAGCTTTAAATTCCAAAGAAGATAATTTTGAATTCAAAACCTATGAGCTTTCACTCAATCTTTTGATAATGAGAATATTAAGTATACTGAAGCAGTAGCTAATGTAATTTTACCTTTTTTTTGCTTTGACTTTATGTCAATTTTCTTTATTACTTCTGTAGGAAAAAGATGGCAACAGCCCAGCCTTCTAGTCATCCTTCCACAGCATTCTCCTTAGGCCATACCCATCCTGTGGGACATTTTTTGCCCTTCTAGAACTTCATGAAATGAAAACTGATATTTCTATATAACATATTATCTTTACTTTTTATCATTAAATTTTTTTAAAAATATATATTTTATTGATTTTGTACAAAGAGAAAGGGAGAGAGATAGAAAGCTAGAAACATCGATGAGAGAGAGTCATCGATCAGCTGCCTCTTGCACACCCCCTACTGGGGATGTGCCCACAACCAAGGTACATGCCCTTGACCGGAATTGAACCTGGGTCCCTTCAGTCCCCAAGCCGACGCTCTATCCATTGAGCCAAACTGGTCTTGGCTAATTTTTATCATTAAATTTTTTAGGAGAGAACAAATATGATCATAATCATAAATGTATTAGAATCTGCCATTTCCATTGCACAGAGCCACTCCCATGGCCACATATCTATGGGACTAATAGGCATGTGTGCCAGGTGTCCATTTTGGAATTTAATAATCTCAGATAGGCAGAGACACTATTTAATGAACTTCTAACTTTTTTTCATCATAGATCCACTGCACTCCAATGGGTGTTTACTATTTTCTGATTATGATGATAATGATTCTAGAAGTAATCAAATATTGCTAAAGTTCATAGAATTCATGTTTTCCAAAAGGATACAAAATACATTAGAGATTTATTGAGGCAATTTTACAGTAGTATCCTTCAGATATGCATATGAGAAAAAGTTGCAATACATTAAATCAGACAGGTTTACCAACACTTAAAATTTTAGATAGATTAATATGATAATACTTTCATGGGATCTTCAGTACATGGAAAGAAACAAGAGCACCAATAACACAGTGATAAAATAATCCATTATCAAACAATAAAATATAGGTATGACCAGTGCAAAAAAAAGAGAGAATTCTCTATCTGACAACTGAAGGAAGAAAAGGAAATTTAAAGATGTTCACTTTCTAACTTGGAAATAAGAAGATTTAAGATTTAATACTTTTATGCTTGGTCACCTGGATCTCGGGATTTCACTCTTGTGAGGCTGGGGACTCTCCTGAAGGATATGACTCCTTCCTGTGGCCAGTCTTCTAAGGCCCATTTACTCAGGAGATTGTGCGTTGAGGTGGTAAATGGACAAGACGTCTAGAAAGGTTGCATTTCTGCAATTACTCAAATTAATTGAGTAACTTTGATTTGATCTGGAAGGTGATAAGTAGCAGAAATGTTTGTACTCCCAGAGACTCAAATTTACTAGGAGAGTATTCTCACCTTTTGTCCTTTTGATGGTAGTTGCAAGCTTATACCTTTATACAACAGGGTTTTCCTATCAGTAACCCACTTCTGGTCTTATGGAATTGAGAAAACATTAGTCTGACCTTAAAATTCAATAATGAGTTAAGCAGAATAAATAGCTACAACAGGCCAGTCCAAGGTCGCAGAGCTTCTGTTCCAAATTTTCATGTACTTCATGCATATGCATATGCATATGCTTCAGTTTTTAGAAAGAAAGGATTATAATCAGGATAGAAATGAATATTGGAACCCTGACATTTTGCACATTGCTCTGTGTAAAGGGAAGACAGCAGAATCAAATTCTGGATGTCCAAATGTGCTCAGAGTACCAACAAGCCTTCCTTGCTACTTAAATATTCTCTAGGACATGGTACCCACTTGACAAAAGGACTGCTGTTAAAAGCAGAAAGCCCTAGCAGCATGTTTGCTCCTGGAAGAAGGCAGTTAGTGTTCAATAAATCCTGGAAATTCAACTCTGGGAAGTGATTATGGAAGTAACACCTCTTGGTTTATAGGAAGTTCACTCTAACATACACGCTATTAAAAAAAAGGCAAAGTGGGGGGAGGGGGGGCCTAGTGAGACCTGTGATCTATACGAAGCATGATTGTGAACAAGGCCAAGGAGATACAAAAGCAATCTAAAAACAAGTGCAATTAAACCTAGCACAGAGTATGTCTTATTGCTAAGAAAGATCAGAATTGCTTGTGGATTTGGGAAGCATGTCTTAATTATTACACAGACAAATGTTATTTCTAATTGAACTTTAGACTGAGGCCAGCATATTCTTCCTCAAGCAGTGGGTTTTCAAAGAGTAGTCCTAAGATCTCTGCTGTATCAACCAACACCTGCAACTTGTTAGAAAGACAAATTATTGGATGCTACTCAGATCTATTAAAAACTCTGGGGAGGGGCCAGTACTCTGTTTAAAGACCTTCAGGTATTTCTGATGCACGCTAAAATTTGAGATAAGACTTCCTGAAATCACAAGAGTCTGTATCTCCAGAAGATACTCTTCTAAATCCAAGGTTACTCTATCAGAACTTTTGTATTTTATAATAATTTAGATAAGTCATTTAGAGACAGACATTCTGATGAAAAACATATGTTGCATCCATCTATCTATTCATATGAATTCTGTGAGGACTACTCCTCTCCCCCTTTATTTCTTTTTGGCTTTCATCATTAAAGTGGGCAGTGTATGTGTTGACTCTTCTATCTATCGGGAGTATTCAAAAATACCTCTTAGAGATATAATATTTTATGGCATTAAACATGTTGTATATATGTGTGTATATAATACTTTATATATAACATATGTATAATTTTGCAGCATTATCTGTTCTATCACTAACTTAGGAATTCATAATTCTTTGGCTTTCCTTGTTTTTCTCTTGGATAAAACAAAAGGGTTAAACTTAAAGTCCCCTCTATTTCTTAAAAATCTATGAATTCTAAAGTTGCTGAATATTTCTCTATTTACTAGTAATACTCTAAAAATTTTTGTGAACATTGGGTCTTTGCTGCTGTTTGCACTTTGGGCTAATTGAAGGCTCCTACATAAATACAGACTTTACCTGACATATGGATATAGTAACAGAGGCTACTAAGGTAGAGCATTTGTTAGGTAACATGGTATTTTTTTATGCTATCACAAAATATAATTCAGATTCAAAATACAATTTTATATATAACATCCTATTTATCAAAACACCCCATAATTTTACTCCAATTTTTCTACTAATACTCAGCACAGACCTTTGTCTCCAGGCAGGCTGGCTACTTGTTTACTGACATGCAAATAAACCTTATTTATAGACAACTTTTATCTTTGGCCTACCTAGAGTTTCTTCCTTTTTACTACCTAGAGTTTGTTCCTTTTTAATACCAAACTGATCAAATAAGGAGGGCTCAGATACCACTTTCTCTGGTCCCTGTAGTTTTTAAGGTTACGCTTCTCATCCTCTGAGAGTAGGGTTTACATTTTCCTTTTTCATTCCTGTCATATAGATTATGCTTAATATATATTTGTTAAATGATTTATGAATAGCTGCTAGATTATGCCTATCTCATAATACATGCTCAGTAAATGTTTGGCTGCTTTTGAATAGATTTTTTTAAGCCTCAATTTTCCTGCCTTTCACTGGTTATAGCATTAACTGTCCTTCACTTATCTGGTATCTGAAGAAGGCTTTGGAGTATCTTAATTAAAATATGGAATTTGAATCATAGTATGGATATTCCTCTAGTCAAATTGGCAAAAACCCTTCAAATGTTCTTGGATAGACTTTGATCATCATCCTGTTAAGATCTTCCCCGTGTTGTAGGTAGGATTCAGCATATTTTTGATGGATGAAGTGCTGAATAGAACTCACTTTAAGGTACTTCTGACTTAAAATGTGATGGATACTCAGCTTTATGCTCTCACTTTCTTTTACTGTACGATTGAGATAATCTAGGTTGCGGTTGTCGTGACGGCTAGTGCCTGATTTGACTGCTCCTCCCCAGAAAGTCTCAATTTTTGGCTTCCTCGGGGCTGCCTGGGATGCAGCCGGCCCTCCATCCAGAGCATGGGGGCCCACCCAGCCTCCTTCTGGCACGAAAGGCAGCGGCTGCACTGCCACGTTCTCTTCAGATAAGCATGGCTTGGGAATGCTATCTTTAGAGGTGATGAGTTTTTGTTTGGATAGAATTATGACTAGTATAAAGCCCACACATGCTAACAAGCCACAAAGTGCAAAATAATTATTGAAAGCAATTTGAGAGAAAAGTGGAAAATCATCTGAGGAAAAAACAAAATTGTTCCCAAAGCTTTGGTCCAATTTTTTTTTTTCTCTGTTAGATTGAATCTTGAGTCTTGGTGTTCTGCTGCTAGGTCACTTAAACATTGATGGCACTGTTCTTCTCTTTTTGAACTTTACTCCTTTATTAAACCTTCCTACCTGGCTTTTTGAGATTTATTCTGAGTTGGTCAGAGATACTATGTACCAAGCTTACCTTTCAGTGGATAAGCAAGGAAATAATTGCATTTTGCCTGTATCTTGGTTTTACTTAAATAGCATTTGGGATCACTGAATGTTTCCTCTTTGTGTTCATCCATGCTCACTTAGGTAACCTTTTCTATAGAAAAAAAAACAAAAAAAAACACCACATCTATCTGAAAGGATATATATGCTCTGTTCATGGCCTCAAGGATGTGCACATAAGTTAACATGACATGTATATTATGTTCCATGTATAGTGACTCACCTATGTGCAAGACATGCCTCAATCTAGACTACAAATGCTCTGCTCAGATGCTTAAATGTGTAATTTAAAACAAATGGTGCTATCTATTTACCATAAATTAATTCTAATATTATAGCACTGCCAAATGCCAAGGGGACTAAGCATAATACAGAAGTAATAAAGAACATATGATGGCTCTTAAAGAAATTTTTTTCCTTAAAGAACAGAAAAAGGGAATAGAGTTGATTTCTGCAATGCAAAGGGGTAACAGACACATACCATTGGCACCACAGAGTATAAATGTAACAGAGGGCTTGGGGGTGGGGTGCTGATAAGCAGAGAGACAGCAGAACTCATTCACCACGCTGGCCTCTCACTGTTCCACAGCATAAGCCTGGGTATAGATATTCTGTGTGCAACATGGCCAACGTCCCAGCAGAGGAGCCTGCCTTGGTTAGCGGGTTGGATGTGGAAGCAAGTACCACAAGAGTTAAAATGAGACATGCCTATATTATATTATATTATATTATATTATATTATATTATATTACATTACATTACATTACATTACATTACATTACATTACATTATATTCATGGGTTAAAGAGACTCTAGCAAACACTGTTTCTTTAAGTCTTTAAGTAACAAGAAATATGGCTAATGGTCTTCAGACTAGGCAATATGCAAGTTGAAGGCCAAGGTCAGCATACAGATTGCTAAGAACAGCCCTGCATGTCAAGAACAATGACATCAGCCAAAGATCACATGTTTCTGAAAGCCGATTTAAATCAGCCAAGCTACTGCTAAGCTCCTGAAAGAGGAAAGGCAATGAGCCTCCAGGTCATTCCTATTTTCTTTTTACAGTTCCCATTTGGTCAGGGAGCTGCCTAGCTTTTCATCTTTATACAACTTAAAATTCCAGTTTTGGACTTTAAGACAATAATTCTAAGATTTTTTTTTAAATGGCCCTTAATAGTTCTCTGAACTTGACCATTACTAATTGATACTTTGAAAACAAATGCATTAAACTGGAGCTATAATCTACAGATAACTAAATTTCTTTTTCGCTGTATGGAAAGAAGTTGATGATAACATTATTGAAAACTAAAGCAGGGCATTTCAGTATGGTAATAAGATTATCTTTATCCCAAATATATAGTTTTAAAATGTTATACTGAAGAAATAAATATATAAAGCAGTTCCACTCTTTGGGAAGGGTGGGATATTGTCATTATAAGAAGAAACCTGAAGCATAAAGCAAAAGCCTAAGATGCATTCCTGAGTGGAAAACACATCTGTGTTTTGGTCCATACAGGAAGATATCTTTCACTCTCTTTTTCCAAGTCTCTCTAGTCTCCCCAGTAATGGTTCTCAAAGTGTGGTCCTCAGAACCGCATAGTCAGTGCCCCCTGGAAACTCATTAGAGATGTAAATTTTGGGGACCTACTTCAGACCTATTAAGTCAGAAGGTGGGGTCCAGCAATATGTATTTTTAACAAGGCCTTTAAATTATTCTAATGTGAACTAAAGTTTGAGAACCAGTGCTCTAAGTACATCCTTCATTCCCTTCTTATAGCATATTTTGGGAATATAATTACAACTTTATAACAATGAAAATGATTATATTACTCATACTTTTGTCCTTATAACATTTAAATTAATTTTGTTTTGTTTGTTTGTTAATCCTCAATGGAGGATTCCCTCCCCCCCCCCCCCCCCCCATTGATTTTTAGAGAGCATAGGAGGGAAGGGAAGAGATGGGGAGAGAAACATCATTGTGAGAGAGACATATTGATAGGCTGTCTTCTGCAAACTCCTTGAGCCTGCAACTACCTTACATGCCCTTTACAAGAATTGAACCCATGACCCTTCAGTCCTCGGGCCAACACTCTAACCACGGAGCAAATCAGTTAGGGCAGATTGATTTTTTATTTTAATCTGCTTGGAAATTAACACGAAAGAGACTGTTGTTAGCATTTAAATTACTTTGTGATATGAGACTCTCATTAATTACTTGTATTCTTAGCAGTGAATGCTTCCTTCATTGAAAGGACCTGTGCTAGCATTAATGAGTGCAAACAGAGTGGAAGGTCCTGGGATTAATGAGATAGTGAAACATTAATCTGTGTTTCTTCTTCAATGTAAAAGGGAGACTCATCAGGTTCACTTTATATATTTTATGTTTATATTTCCAGGAAGAACAAAGTATGCTAGCTATGGAAGATGAGGGTACTGTACAACTCCCATTGGAAGGGCATTACAGGTAAGAAAGAAAGGTGAAAACAGATAAGTTGAGAAATGGCACATTTTCTTATATGCTCTATTAAAAATTTTGTACTACATGGATTCCTATAGAGGTTCGCTGAAGTTGTTAAAGTAGAAAGAACTGAAATTAGGAATTAGATTACTCTGTCCCAGTAATAAAATTTGTCATTAATAGCTATGTGACTGTGGCCAAGTAGCTTAAAATGAAGGGGGGAGGGAGGCATGAAGCTACTGTTTGAAGTCTTTTCTTCTCATATTTTATAATGGATATGAAAGCCCTCTTTTATATCCTCTAAAAGTAGCACCTGAAGACAGCTCAAGATTCAATTCTGGGATAAATAAGCTAGGTATTCACTAAATGGATCACAGCTAAATATTTGAACTCTGTGAGATTATCCCTAAAAGACACTTCTAAAGAGGTAATCTATTTCCAAGTCCGTGGTCACCAAACTGAGACTTGAGAGCCACATGCAGCTCTTTGGCCCCTTGAGTGTGGCTCTTCCACAAAATACCATGGCCTGGACGAGTCTATTTTGAAGAAGTGGCATTAAAAGAAGTTTAATTTTTAAAAATTTGGTTCTCAAAAGAAATTTCAATCGTTGTACTGTTGATATTTGGTTCTGTTGACTAATGAGTTTGCCGACCACTGTCTTAAGGGAAATTTTACCAGTCATTTTAGGAAATATTTATGTAATTCTCTAAAATACACTAATTGTCTTTATGCACAAAGATATAGCAAAAGAAAGCAAACTTTTATAAATTACAATAAAAATTTTGAATGTATCTGGCTAAAAAGTTCTATATATAGTCTCAAAGTACTTAAGAATAATATAAGGCAATGCCAGTGAAAAAGCAGAAGAGGCTTTTCTCTGAGGAGGAAATTTGTCATAGGGTTAAAAAAAAATCATCAGGATCTTACTGTAAAATCATATTTCTTAGATTTAAAACATATATAATTATGTACCACTTAAACATAGAAAGTATAGACAGTACTTTATCTTTTTAAACACAATAAGTTTTAAAGTCCTGTTGATTATTTAGTTGAATCAGCATATTCTCAAGTGTATTCTATAGAAATCTAGTTTCATATGATACCACTTTCAAAAGGATTATGTAGTTAAGTAAGTTTGGAAAATGTCCCACACTGTATTCCAGTTTGTAAATTCACAAAGCACATTGACATATTCAGAAATCTAAATAGTATTGCATTAAAAAAAAAAGTTCATTGGTTTAATCCAGCATTTTCCAAACCTATTTGCTCACAAGACTGTCACCTATCTTAAAAATCTTGTATTCCACATGACACTCTTTTGGGAATTACTTGATTTTATGCTTGGAGTTCCAAAGGCTAAGCGAATTAGAGGAATTAATGAATACATGTCTAGATTAGGCAAGGAAAGGGGCCTATGAGACCAAGGTGGTGTTCTAGACCCTTAGTGTTTCTCCAAAAATTTGGATTTGTTGCCCTCTTGTGAAAACTACCAATAAAAGCCACGTGAGGTCAGACTAGGATTTCCTTTTTCTCTTTCTTTCTTTCTTTCTTTCTTTCTTTCTTTCTTTCTTTCTTTCTTTCTTTCTTTCTTTCTTTCCTTCTTTCCTTCTTTCCTTCTTTCCTTCTTTCTTTTTTTTTTTTCTCTCTCTCTCTCTCTCTCTCTCTCTCTCTCTCTCTCTCTCTCTCTCTCTCTCTCTCTTCTTTCTTTCTTTCTTTCTTTCTTTCTTTCTTTCTTTCTTTCTTTCTTTCTTTCTTTCTTTCTTTCTTTCTTTCTTTCACAGCAGAGAATCTTTTTTATGTGTAGTGAGAAGAGTGCTATTTTCTCAATCAATGAAACTTTCCTTGACTGGGCCTATGATTTGTCTCTGTTGCACTTTGGTTGTGTTTCTAGCCCTGGGAATGTTCGGGATTTTATGAATGTCACCTATAATTGGTGCCATTTAAAAATGCAAACAAAAAAGCACCAAGCTTGGTATAATTGCTCATATTACAAGCTCCCCCAGCCACTGGGAAAGACCCAGGCCAAATACACAGGGTACCTCTATTCATTTAACAGACTAGAGGTCTGGTGCACCAATGGGGTCCCTCAGCCTGGCCTGTGGGAACAGGTTGAACCCAGCTCTCTGACAATCTGAGGGGTCCTGGATTGCAAGAGGGACCAGGCCGAGGGACCCCACAGGTGCCCGATTGGGCCAGGGAGGGATGTGGGAGGTTGGCCAGCCAGGGAGGACAGTGGGAGGGCTCTAGGGCAAGTCTGGCCATCTTACTCAGTCCTGATTGGCTGGACTCAAGCAGCAAGCTAACCTACCAGTTAAAACATCTGCTCCCTAGTGGTCAGTGCACCACATAGCAAGCAGTTGAGCGACCTTAACATATCATTAACATATTATGCTTTGATTGGTTGAACAGATGACCAGACACTTAGCATATTAGTCTTTTATTATATAGGGTATTTGTTGAGTAAGTATGAAGTGCCAAGCTCTATTGGAGAAGAGGAGTGTTCAAGAATCCTCCATAAAGCTTATACTCAAGTAGACTAGAGGGAGAGAGAGTCTGAAAATAAACACACCAACAAATATAATAGCATATTATTTCAGATAATGAAAAGTACAATGAAAATAAAAAGTGAAAAAAGAGGAATGGGAGTGCTTTGAGGGGATAGAAATAGAAATTTTAAATAGTCAGCAAAGGTCTGTCTGGGTAGGTGGCATTTGAACAAAGGAGGGAGTTTGTACCATGTGAAGGAACACTGAAGGCAGAAAGAAGAGCCGGTACAAGGTTGTTTGGCAGCAACAAGCCTTATGGTAATCCAGAACAGTCAGGAAGCCATTGCATATGGCTGGAGAGGAAGGAGCAGGGAAGTAAGAGCAGGAGATGAAGTAGGAACGTGAGGATGGGAACAGAGTGTTACAGTCCATCTACTTGCCTTTTGCTCTGAGTGAGTGAGAGCTACAGTTGAGTCTAAACAGAGAGTGAGTGAAGTGGGTCTGCTGTGCTACAGATATTAGGGGAAGAGGCTAAGCAGTGACCATGCAGCACCTGATCTCTCTAATTTGAAATGAATTTGGAAAATTGTTGCCAAAACCAGTTTCTATGTAACTAGAAAATATTGTCTAGATTCATGTTTTTTTATAAATGTTTTAATAATTGAGAAAACTGTTCAATACTTCTTAATTTTTAATTATCAAAAGTACTATATCTATATAAAGGCATAGGATTGTCCTAAATTTGTTTCCATCACTAAATATCTTCAATTGCTTATTTATTGTTTATTATTTCATTTTGGGTAAACTATCTAGAGATGATCCATCTGTGATCAACATTTCTGATGAAATGTCAAAGACTGCCTTGTGGAGAAACCTTCTGATTACTGCCGATAACTCAAAAGAAAAGGAGTCAAGCTTTCCTTCTAAAAGGTTGGAATTCTAGTATAATGTGGATTTATACTGATCCCAGCTATTGACATGAATCCATTAGCAAAAATATGAGAACATTTCATCAAATTTAGATCTAAAGTATTTCAGAAAATTTATTTTGAAAAGTGTGTAGAAATTGTAATTATCATATTAGTTGGTATTGTTTTTATCTCCCTTTCAAATTAAAAGTTTACTCTAAAATCATGACAGTGGGGGAGTAATGGTGCTATAAATGGGTCCCAATGCACGGCATCTTTGGACATTCATTTTGGCCTAATCTTTTGCAGTAACATTTTATTCTATTCCCTTATCACCCACAACCCAGGAACCCTGTTGATGTCTGACCACAGTTTGCACTCCCCCATGTCCTCTTGAAAACTCATATGAAATATAAAATGGAGATTTTGTATATTTCCAGTCTCCTACTCAACCCCTTGAAAATGTTTTCTAACCTCCTTACCCCCAAACTTTCAGCTCCAGAAAGTTCTATCCATTCTCCTCTGTATAAAAGCATAACAAACAACTCCTGTAGTTGTGGATGATAGTTTTAAATGCATGCTGGGGGAAGAGTATGTCCTTAAATATCAAGAGTCATCATAGGATTTCCAACTAAATTTTCCAGAATTTATAAATAAAATATTCAGACCATCAGCCTGCTTAGATGCTGACCGAAAGAAAAATCTCTGTTATGCTAATATATCTTATTAAAGAGTGATTGAGGGATTTGGGACCGTGTTTAATTATTAAGTTCCTTTATTGTCATGACCTTAAATTAACTATTTCTACTTAATTTTTATATTACGTTTTGTCATAAGCTCCCCTTCCTAATCACTCTAGAAGCTGATTCCCCAAAGGTAAGTCCCTCTCCCTCAAGCTTACTCCTTAATTGTATTTCCTTATGTTAAATGGTGTCTTCTAGAAACCTGGTCAGCCTATGTTCTCTGTGAGTTTTGGGGAGGCAAAAGGCATGCAGAGTTGTGGGCTGAGATCCAGTATCAGACTGTTTGTGGTATTCCTATGACGACTCAGCTCTTTAAAAGGGTTTGAAACTTGAGTAAACTTCTCCCCCACATGATTTATACAAATGCATTATATATATAAATCAATAAATATCATAGAACTGTATTTAGTAATGACATCAAATTTTTATATTGGAAAAAAAGAAAAAGTATCCCTTGCATTAAGAGATTACAAAGCTGGGCGCTTCCATTTATGCACCACCATGCTTCCAAACCTGCCAGCTTTATCTGGCTACATGAGAGATATTTGGAAACATGGGCTAGAAAAAGAGGCTACGTTAGATTTAGGGAGTACCTCTTATTGCTGGTTTTTGTCACCCCAAAATGGCATGCTGCTTCAGTGTCATCTCTGTTCTCAACAGCATAAATAAGAAAAACAAATGTGTAATGGTTCTCCCCAGAAAGATGGGAATTCTCTGTCTCTCTGTCTCTAGCTCTCTCTTTCCCTCCATGCTCCACCCCCTCTCCTCTGTCAACTACCCAACACTTACTCCAAAGGAGGTTAATATAAATTACTCAATAGTCTCTCAAAGCATCTGGTTGATGCTTTCTATCTTTTAACTGGACTTTAAAATCTTCATGTATTTCTTTGCTTGGCTCAGGCAGAGGTCATATTTTATTCTAAAACGTGCTTAATCGTCCTCTCCCAAAGATCCCTGCTATGGCCTGATAGAGTCATTCTCATAGTAACACCATTTTGCCAGAAGTCTTGGAAGAAAATCAGAGTTATGAGAGGGGCAATTTCTCAAACCCCTTGAAATATGTGCCTGTGGACTCTTTAATATTAAAAATATGGCATTTCTTTGATTTATAAAAATATTGAACTCAAAGTTTATGGGTTCAAAATAAATGTCAGATATAGGGGATATGTGGGTAATTTGAGACACTTGAACTTATAGATGGCTTTTCTTCCTGTAATACACTAATCCATTAGTACAAACTCTGTCTCTGTTTTTCTTTGGTTCAAGCAAAAGTGTGTGTGTGTGTGTGTGTGTGTGTGTGTGTGTGTGTGTGTGTGTTTAATCCTCACCCAATTTTAGAGAGAGAGGAAGGGAAAGAGAGAGAAACATTGATGTAAGAAGAAACATAGATTAGTTGCCTCCTGTATATTTCCCTATCATGGGTCAAACCTGAAACCTAGGTATGTGCCCTGACTAGGAATGGAACCTGCAATCTTTTGGTGTACAGAATGACGCTCCAACAGACTGAGCTATCTGGCCAAGGCCAAGCAAAAGTTTTTATGATATTTTAGGTACTCCTTAAAGTAAACAGTAAAGTCAAGTAATGTTTTTCACCCCCCTTCAGTGCATGAATTTTCATGCACCAGGCCTCTAGTTGAAAAATAACAGTTTCAAGATTGCTTAGCAGCGTGGATGTAGTGAGTCAAGTTGTATTTTCTCTTGAAATTTTACTTCTTTTATTTTAAATTGTAACTCCTCAAGGGACGGGACACTGTCTCATCCATTTTCTATCCATTGGTCTTCTCAAAGTACTATACAACATGATACACACACACACACACACACATAACATTAAATATGCAATGTGTGTTATAGATATGTAATATATATTTATTATAATAGTACATAATAGATATGACATATATGTAATATAGTTAACAAATATATACAATCCATTACAATGAAAGTTTACAATTGATTGGCAATGAGAAAATCAGTGTAACAAGGAACAGAGTAATAGCCATACAGTAAGAAAATTTAATTTTCTATTTTTTATAGACATTTTGAGGTGGTTATAAAACTTCTGCTTCATAGTGTACTGAAATCTTATACAAAAAGCACTGATTTAAAGAGTTTAAAAAACCTCAATTATAATTGGTTGTTTTGTAACTGAACAACCAGTCTGATCAAAGTAGGACATCAGGAGGAAGCGTGTCTGGAACCAAGTTGACATCCCGAGTCTCTTTTTTTCACTCTTGGTGACTAACAGTGCACGAGGCTTTTGCTCATTTATCAAAAGCATATGGAGCAGGGCACTGTGCACATAGAGACCGTGCTCATGTGGAGGCCAGTGTGTCTCTGTCCCTGCAATCTCCCGCAGATAGGACCTGTCCTTCTGTCTTTCAAAAGACAGGGGTTCACAGGAGGAATACCAGCCTCAGGATCCTGGCATTCAAGCTACAGGAGAACTTTGTCATCCAGGTCAAACCAATTAACAGATGAGGAAACAGGTTCCAGAGACGTTAAATAACTAGCCAAGGTCATACAGCTCATTCTCAGCTTCCAGGAACAGAATGCAATTTTCTGTTCCAAGCCCAGGGCTTCCTTCCCTGCCCCAGCTGCCCCCTTTCATTGGCTTTGTTTGGCCAAAGAGACTGGGAGTCAGGTAGAGCTCCAGGAAAAGTTAATTTGGAAAGTAGGGTAGCAGGCACTTGTCATGTGAAAGGAACTTAAAGTGGAAGAAAGTGAGTCATTTAGATGGATGAGTTAAAAATACAGAGTTAAGGTTCTCAACACATCATGTGCACACTGTCATCCTTCTCATGGAAGGAGAAAAGAAAAGTGAAAAGAGTTGCTTTGCTCTGACCTGCAAGTAGCGTGCGCTGAGAAGCGTGGCAGGCACAAACCCGGTGCCATAGACACTCGCTCACACCAGCTCTCAGCACTGGCAGCATGCCACTGATGGCAGAAGCTCCGGCACTTCTTACCTGATGGTGCCGGGTGGTGGTGACAACTGAGAAAGGCTGTTTCTAGCTTGAAATGGAGGAAACACAATTTAAAAAACACACTCATAGAAAATATCTAAGTTACTGACCATTGTAAAAGCTGCCCAGGAGACCCCATAGAAAAAGGGTTTAACTGTCACTTTATTACTTGGAAAAAGAGTTACTAAAACCAAGGATTTCCCCACCAGCAGCTATTTTATAAACTCGTATTAAGGGCTAACATGAACAGTAATAATGTCTGGTTTTTCCAGCTCAGGCCCCAGAGGCCACCAGCTGCGGGTTGCCCTCCATGTCAGCAGCAGGGAGGGTCGCAGAGAGGCTCGGATACGGAGGGAAGTGGTGGGGGGAGCTCCCTGCCCTTCGGGAAGCATAGACTCTCCGTGTGAGCTTCGAGCATGTGAGCACATTATTGGAAGTTTCCGTAAAGACTGTCCATGTGAGAGCAGGGAAAATGTACATCAGAAAAATATTGAAGAACAGGAAGACAAAATGGGAGAGTCACATTAACCAGCTTGCCCATTAGTGAAATTAATTACAGACTAGCTAACCTAGAAGCCACTTGGGAATAAGTTTATTTGGGACTGAGTGAGGAGGAGCATTGTGCCTGGGATGGACAGGGTCTGTGAAGAGACGGCACTGCTGTCTGGAGGGCAGTGTGTGGGTGGCCACCTCCTTCCAGACCTACGGACCAGGACAGGGTTCTCACTGAGATTCAGAAGCCAGTCCATGCACAGAGGATGGACCACTTGCAGCAGAGCCCAGAAATTCCTCCTGTGACATCTCGTTTGTCATATCAGTGCTCTCTTAAGATGGGGCAAAACTGGCATTTTCAATAATCATGGTTGATTCATTTTCCCAAATGAAAGCCACGGTATTAATCCTGCTTGCTTTTGAAACTGTTTTTAAAATGTCTGGTTTTTGGTTTCTGTGTTTTGAATTTCCCCCTTTTCTGCAGTTCTTGGTTTCTATGTCACTGAGTGCAGAGGGTTTTAATTGTTGCTATCTATCTATGTGTGCTTCCCAGCATGAAAGCGCAATGCCTAACGGCCCTGGTGGCACTCCGGGGTGGATGGGTTTTGTGTCTGAGCAAGCACATCTCACAGTAGCCATGCTAAATTTCAGTAATAAATTTCTCCTTTCCCTCCCTGTAGCAGTGAAAACCGAGAAGAAAAGAAAACTGACTCACAGAAAGGTGTTGACAGGGAGACTTGTCTATGACTTGATCTTCGATTTATTTTTTACAAATATATAAGAAGAGTGCCACAATTATTAATAAAACTGCTTTGATCATGTATTGTAAATTCTGTCTCTCATCCCAAATCTACCTTCATACTGTAAGTAGTGCAATACTTGTTTCTTTTTGTGTTTAAACTTCTGAGCAGTGAGACACACTTGTGAGCATATGCAATAGCTAATGAAGAACCTCTGCATTCCTTGCTGTGTGTTAGGCATTTGAAAACACTGGATTCTCCTTGTCAGTTTTATGAGAGCAATAGCATTCTTAAAGAGATAAGTCATATTTACCTAGTTTGTATTTTCCTACTGTAGTGACCTGAGGATACCTGGTAATTTCAATGAGAAGAATTTTGAATGGTAGTCTTACTTCTTATTTTGTATCAGTGACTTATTTCAAAATAACCAAATTAAAAATTTAGTTGGAAAGCATTTTTTAACAATTGAATTTATGCACTTCCTTGATTTAATATGATACATTTAATAGTTAAGAATTTCTATGTAACTAAAACTGAAATTTGAAAAAAATGTGTAGAAACCTATTCACAACTTGTTTAAAAGAATCAGACACTAATGCAAAAAGTCAAGTAGTGTTTGCTTAAAAATCAAGTTGTGATTACATGATCAAATACTAGGCTTGTACGAAATGCTTTAGAAAAACTTTGTAAGTTTTGTGAGATTTTCAAAACAACCTTTATGGGAAATATGCTGTTAAATTTCTCTCCCGTTGACAATGAACATTTTCCAAATAAACCTATTATATACAAATTCGTGGAATACCAATGGTGAGTCATTGTACATGAAATTCCACTTCTGTACAGTTCTCTGCTGCTAAAGGTCATGTACTGCTTAAAGCTGCTTCTGAATCATGTTCTAATGTTAGACTGACAGGTCTCTCTTTTTCTACAAAGCTCTTTCATCTTTTTAATTAAATGCATGTTGTAGAAAAATAATCTTTTAAAGGAAATTTTCAGATTCTGTTTGAAAAGCTTCTGTAGATATTTCAGTTCATATAAAATCATCTTTACTAAGCTTATATAAGAGGAAGAAAAGTTGAGAATTTTTGAGCACTACTAAGAATACAGTATTTCTTTTGTTTTTAGATGAATGTGAAATTAACAAGACCAAATCTTATAGTACTCTTGTTTCCTAAGAAGGATCAGTGATCTTCAGTGTCCAATTTGATAATCATTCAGAGCCCTGTCGCTTTTCCAAACTATTCATTGCATATTCTGTGTATAAGTGCACATGAAAAATTAGGGGGAAAAGCTCTTGTGATTAAGCTTATAAGGGGTAAAAAAACACCAATAACAAGGCCTTCATAGGTTCAACATTTTGATGCCTTCTGAAAATTTTCCCTCAGAATGTTTTAAGGAGCCATTTCTTTTATGGAACATAAGCCTAAAAAATATAAGAAGAATATACAGTGAACAAAGTCTGTGTTTATAAATGCCAAGGAAAAAATACAGAAACTTTCCATTCTCAATGTATTGCCTTTGTATATTTTGTAATACAGATACTACGTTATAAACATTCCCATTGTTTTATGATTTAGACTAGCAGTACATGCCAGACAGTCCCATAAGCAGCCTACCAGTATTTTCATATATGATTAACTGTTCTGTTAAAAATGATTGTAGTGAATTAAAACCTTTACATGGTCACCTATTTGAATAAGCAATCATATCCAATGAAATTCTGTATTTCTGAGTATTTTTATAGTCATTTTGTTCTTGTGTGAATTTTAATGATATCCTATGTTAATCCTACTATTTTGAAATTATATAAAATATAAGAAAAAATGTAGTGTTATATATTTCTTCCTAATTTCAGATTCCTGGTCAAAATTAGTGAATATCTCGAATGTAATTTATTGCAAAGTTTAAGTAAAGTGTAAATGTGACTAGGACATTGTGTTTTTCACAACTAAGAAATGTTATGTGGAAATAAATATTTATCCTAACTAATTTTCTTGCACATTTTAAATTGTGATGCAAGTGTCTTGTCTTTTTTTCCCCCTTAGTGCTAATCAGTAAATCAATATTTGATAATAATGTTTAAATTTAGACACCCTTTATGTAAAGAAAACTTGGTGAAGTAGACATTTCAAGAGTATTAATACAATTTGATGAACAAAATATTTTGAGAGGTATATTAGAAAATATGTCTTCATTTTGCCAGAGAGCAGGAATTTGGGTACATAGCATTGCTCATATCCAAAAGGATTCAAGGTCATTAGCAGGTTTCTTATTATTGGAACACCTTAGACTAATGTTTTTACTCTCAGTGGCAAAAGGATTTCCTCCCTGTTTGTCAGGTGAGACCATTATTCATTTGTAGCCTAATTGCATTCAGAATTCTAATGTATGGATTAATATTTTTCTCATGACTCTTGCGTTTACTTTGTAATTGCTATCATTTAACAGCTTTTGATATTGGGGAGCTTTTTCCCCTAAATATAATCTAAATAAATCCTCAATGTAGTTTAAATCCATAGCCTGATGGGAACTTTCCACTGACAAGCCACAGCAACTTGTATTTCAAGATGATCTCCAATATCTTGTAGAACTTTTCTTGGCTCTTAAAAGTGTGGCTTTTTTTTTTTTCTTATCTGCATTGACCTACTTCTTTTTCCGTTTAACTTTTGCCTGATTTACTCTTGGGGACTTGAGTATTTTATTATCATTGCAAGATAACTCTCCTAATTTTCCAGTATATCCGTCTCATATACTCATGCAATGGAATGAAATGTGATTGCAACCATTTGAAAATTTTATGAGCATAATTTGGATAATATGGTGATTCTCTAAGTATCTACTTTGTAAGGCTACTTGTAATCAGTCCCCTTGAAGAAGTCCATTTTCAGAATTACTGGTAATACTTTATTTTAGAAATCTTTTTGGGCATTTTCCTTGGAAAGCTATAGCAATTGATACAACTGTCACTCCAATTCATTTTCTATTGATGCATTGACCACTATTCTTTATGCTGAAATTTTGGAAATGGGACTGTGATGTTTGCTACTTGGAGTAGGGCAGAGTTTGAAGAAAATGTTAGATAAGAGATGGTATAAGAATTAGGATGGATATGGGAAAGGAAACCTACTCCAAGTACTGCAAAGATGCTCAAATACATGTCCATATTGAAGTAAAAAAAAATAATTAAAGTATGTGTGGTAACTAGCCAACAAACAGCCCAATATGGTGGAGTGTTAGGGGGATAGTGGAGACCTATGAGAATAGATAGAAACACAAGTTGGAAACATTATAAGTGATGTGTTAGGATGTTTGACTTTTGAGTAATGGAAATACATGAATTTTTGGAAGATGAGTTTGGCCACAGAGTAGAGAGCATTTTGGGAGAAAAGTGGAATCATCTCCTTAGGGATGCTGCTCCCAGGATGGTTCTCTAAGGCTCAAACCAAACTCTCTGTGAGTGGCCTATAAACTTCTATTAAGACTGCATCCATGCCGAAACTGGTTTGGCTTAATGGATAGAGTGTCAGCTTGGGGACTGAAGGGTCCCGGGTTCGATTCCGGTCAAGGGCATGTACCTTGGTTGTGGGCATATCCCCAGTAGGGGGTGTGCAAGAGGCAGCTGATCGATGACTCTCTCATCAATGTTTCTAACTCTCTATCTCTCTCCCTTCCTCTCTGTAAAAAATCAATAAAATACATTAAAAAAAAAAAAAAAAAGACTGCATCCAAATAGACTGAGGGTACTCCCTGGGTACTTAGTAAGTCACAACAGATGTAATAGCTATATTATATATCCTTTTATGTAGAGCATTCCTTTATGTAATAGGTTTGGGTTGTACTTGGGAAAAATTTTTTCTGAAAAGCATGGCATCACAGTAATCCTAAGACTGTTGAAGAAATCTCAGTGTAGTACAAAATTCAGCCAGTGGCTGGCTCATCTGGGCCTAAGAGGTCACCTGCTCCCACCCATTCTTTATTTTCATTGCATTCATTTTTACCACGGACTCAGCTTTGTATCTTGCCATCAGACAGGGGTATAGTCATAGATGTCTGCCATGCAACTTATTTCTGCCATCCTATCTAATAAAAGAGCAATATGCAAATTAACACCACTCCACTACACCCACAAGCCATGCCCACCAGCCAATCAGGAGTGAGTATACAAATAAACCAAGATGGCTACGGCCACAGAGAGAGCAGGAGGCTTGCGTTTCCCCAGTAATGGAAGAAGCCAAACTTTCCGCCTGTCCTGGTGGGCCCAGGTCTCCACTCAGGGCTTCAAAGTTTCAATTATAGAAGATAAATAAACCCCAACAAAAAATGGCTGTGGCCACAGAGAAAGCAGGAGGCTTGACTCTGCTCAAGGCTACAAAGTTTCAATTATAGAAGATAAATAAATCCCAGATACCAGGGCCTCCGCTTGGGTTGCCAGGGTGCATGGCTGGCCTGCAAACCACCATAGGCCCCTCGCTGAGGCCACCCCACACCTCAAGGGAACCCCCACCTTTATCTGGGACAGCTGGCCCTCACCCATGCACCAGGCCTCTATCCTATCTAATAAAAGAGTAATGTGCAGATTGACCATCACTCCAACACACAAGATGGCTGCTTCTACGTGATCAAATATGGCTGCCCCTATATGGTCATAAGATGGCTGCCACAAGATGGCCATCAGGGGAAGGCAGTTGGGAGGGACCAAGCCTGCAAGGAAGGACAGTTGAGGGTGATCAAGCCTGCAGGGGAGGGCAGTTAGGGGTGAGGTGACCAGGGCAGCAGAGGAGGGAAGTTGGAGGTGACTGGGCCTGCAGGGAAGGGCAGCTAAGGGAAACCTAGGCCTGCAGTGGAGAACATTTGGGGGGACCAGGCCTGCAGGGAAGGGCAGTTAGGGGTGACCAAGTCTGGAGGGGAGGACAGTTAGGGGTGACAAGGCCTGCAGAGGAGGGAAGTTGGGGCAAACAGTCTGGCAGGGAGCAGTTAGGCATCAATCAGGCTGGCAGGGGAGTAGTT